ATGTTGACGATCTCTTCTTCGTCGTCTTCTTCTTCTTCTTCTTCGCTATGATTTTGATAATCTACTTTGGAGCTGGCTGCAGGAGATAAGCGCCACAAAGGGGGTGAATCGATGGTGCAAGGAAATTTGTGAGTGGGGAAGCTGAAATCTTGTGTGGCCATGGATAGGTTGATGGGATTGGAATGAAATAGAACATTAAAATGATGAATATACAGGAGTTGTTTGGTGGTGGTTGTTCCTAAAGTTTTAGCTCAACTGCTTCTCCAAGTCACATTTCTTGTTTATTTGATGAAATAGGATCTAGGGTTGGCACATTAAGGGTCCCCTAGTTGTTGTATTTTCAAGGTAGATTTAAGTTCTCTCAAGTGGACCCCAACAATTGCCTTAAATGATTTTGGTACGGCTCAAATTTTAGGCACATCAAGGTTTTCAGGTTCATTAGCAATATAGTTCTTCTAGTTTAGTCCCTTGACTTCCATTTTATGTCCGAAAATTCGGTTCCGTGCCAAACTTATAAATTAAATAAATACGAGTGGTACTAGACACACTAATTTTACAACTCAATTGATGTTGTGCATTTCAATTTTTCACATCTGACCCCATTTGATATCTTATTGTCGGTGGCTATATCAAGTGTCATATTTAGTTAGTAGTTTAACAAAAAATTAGGATAAGACTAGAATTTATTGGATAAATATTGGACATCTAATCTATATGCCTTTGTCAATGGCAATGAAACGATTTTTTTTTGTTCAATTTGAGACATCTCATCTACCGCCGGATTGAAAGGAGGAAACACCTTCTCTTATTTTGATATTTTCAAAACAGTGGTGTTGACTCTGGACTCACTGAAAGGGACTCCGTTGCCACTTTCTATTAATGTAGGGGGTTCTACGCCTAAATTGCAGTTACTGCACCACCAAGTTAAACCAATTGTTCTCATGCAAGTCCAACTTCTGACAGCAACATTGGGCTGACGAGGCTACTTTTATTACGTGCAAAGATAGCTATGTTATTGGCCTATTTTTTTAAAAAAAATTATTAAAATTGATATTGAGGAAGGGGTTTTTCTCACACACATTATCAAGGTGACATGAAGGTTCAAACTTGAGACTATTGGTGTGCAAGTTAATACCCATTTCTATTAGATTAGACCCTATTAGTTTGTTGGCCGAATTGTTAACTGGGTAAATAGGTTTTTGTGTAATGGGATATAGTTTAAAGAAAACATGTTCGGCTGTTAGAAAAAGAGAGATCAACAAAAAAAAGAAAAGATAAATGGGGCACTCTTATTAAGAATTGATCGTTGAATTACTCTGTGATGATCAAAGACTCTCATGCTTTTATTAGTTTTTTCTTTCTACACGCAAGTGATATTAAGGAAGGGAGGATTCAAACACCTTGCTCATGCCTTTAGAGCAACTCCAGCGAGGCCTCTTTGCCTCGGGCTGGGGGATTTTTTCGCCAAAAATGGGTTCCAGCGGAGAGCCCAGGCAGGGGGGGGAGGTGTGGGACCCACCAACTCGGGCTGGCCCGAAGGCAACTTCAGCCCGAGGTCCAAAACGAGGGCTGCTGACGTCAGCGCTACAATACCCCCACTGATTTTCTCGTGGCGTGGCGTCTGGGCTCTCTGATATGATTTTTTTCCTCCAATCCAACGGCAGCCAATTTTTTGCAATAAAATACTAGAAAAAATTTGAAATTTTTTTTTAAAAAATACCCAAAAGTAATGAATTTTTTTCTATAAATACCAGCCTTTTTAAAAAAAAATTATATGAAATTTGAAATTGAAAATTTTATCTGATTATGAGATATGAATAGTATTGACACGTAGGAACCCGAAAATATTATCCAAATTAATTATTGTGGTAAAAAAAAGGTTGTGAAAAAAATTAAAAAATGAATAGTAATTGCCCTTTGCCATGGCAACAGGTGGAAACGGAAAATACTATTTGCAATGGCAACTACTATTCACGTGAATAGTGGTTGCCCTAACTCCCCTCTTGCCATGGCTAAGGGCAAATGGGTGGAGTTGCTCTTATTAGTTGGATTTGGACCAAACCCAAGTGGTGATTTCCAACAATTCTTTTTGTCAAAGAAAATAAACAAAACTAAATAAAACACTTCTGATCAATGAGCACCTATTTGAGTTGATTATTTTAAAAACTAATTCAAGTTATGACCAAACCAAAAAGGATCTTACAATTTATAGTTTGAGACATTTTAACATGTTGGTCTATATAGGTGCATTCTCATTTTTAAGTGTGGAAAAAAATTTATGCACTTTTCAAATTGGTCAAAATAGTGGTGGAGTCATGAAATTTTCATGGGAAGGGCAATATTTAAAAGGTTAAAAGTTCCAAAGAAAAATTTAGGGAAAAAAAAATCAATACAAACAAGCTACAATTATTCGTAACGAAACATAAAGTTTCTTTGAGTTATTTAGTCGAACACATGGTCGACCCTATGTTTAAAATGTTAAGGCATAAAGAAAGGCATTTTATAGAAAACCTCATTGCATTGAGGCGTAAGCCTTTCCGATTTTTTTTATAATTATAAATATATAAACATATATTACAAATCATGAGCATATCTGTAAAATTATAAATATAGCATAGCATTCTTGGGCCCTATATGTCTTGTTGAAGTTCTTGGGCTTAAAACTCACATGCTTGTTTAAAAGAAAACTCTCATTTTGACCAAACAATATAATTACCCAAAGCCCATCTTAATACTATTGCCTAAGACCCAATACTCATAAACAGACATAAATGAGACTCTGTGTTTCATAACAAGTGCACAGTGCACTCCACATCTCCATTCAAATTACAAATTAAAAAATGCCTTGATCACGCCTTCACGCCTCGACTAGCAAATGGGCAGATTTCGGCTTCTCCAAGGGATTTACAAACAAAGGAAGGTGCAACTACACCTTTTTGCGCCTCTGTGGCTCCACTACTAAGTCAAAACTAACTAATTTGAGAAATTTAATTTGGGTTTGGAAAAAAACGAAGTTTGAGTTGTGGGCTTTGGGTGACCTTATGTTTGGAGTGAGCTGAGCTTAATGTTTGCACTGGGCTTTATGTCTAGTGTGGCCCTTGATGGCTTTCGTCCTTGGGCCTTTTTGTGGAGTATCTTTTTTGGACCCTACCGAAGTTAGAAAGTTGAGCCCTTGTTGGAGGAGAGAGAGAGAGAGAGGATAATGTAGTGGAAGTGTGGGTGTAAGTTTTCGGCCTTTTCAGCTTGCGAGGATGGCAACCATGCATGCACACAGCCGTTTTACTGACCGGCTAACGTCTCCTTTATACTTTCAACGTTCAAAAGTTTAAATTAAAAAAAAAAAAAAAAAAAAAAAAAAAAAAAAAAAAAAATTTAACTTCTATTATTAAAAATGAAGAGTAAAAATGACTTCCATTGAATAAGTATTTTACTCCCATGAGAAGAAAATTTATTTATTTTAGTTTTGATATATATATATATATTAATTTATTAGTACTGGTCTCTTAATAATTCTTTTGGAAGAGAAAATTAAATCATTTACCAGTTGAAGATTGGGGCGTTGTGCAGTGTTAAGTTATACGGTGAAGTTAAAAACATTAAATTAATGATAAAATAGCAGCAGTTTTGTAATCATATGTGGTGAATGATGTATACAACCGACAACATCCAATGAATTAAAATAATGCGGTCCCTCAAACACTAATCTTCGGTTTTATACAAGTGGAAAATAGTCTAATTACTTTACAATCGATGAAACTCATTTTGTATCTAGTAAAAGTACCTTAATTCTGTGTCCCTTTAGACACCTCCTGCTTCATATGGTCTTGATAAGGGAGAGTTTTTAGGAAAATGGAAGAGTAGCAGCTCATGCTTCTATTGACGTGCAGAGCTTGGTAACCACCCTCCTGCTTCTAACCTCTTAAAAAATATTCTAAATGTACCCCTGGAAATACTTTTTATACCCATACATATTACAAATTAATTTGAGCTAACATCATTTTACCCCCTCAAGATTTGGGGTCATTCTTGAAATGGGTCATGTAGTTTTAATATTGTCAATTTGCGCCATAATTTTTTAAAATTGGACCAATTTACACGTTCCGTTAATTTGAGTGCTTGGTCTTCTGTTAAGTGATGACGTGGCAAATGTGAGGTCCACCTTTTTAGCTTAGGTGTAATAAAATATGTAAAAAAATTCTTTACTTTTTAAGTTAATTAAAATCAATTATTTACAATAAAAAAAGGAATATTTAAAAACAAATATCAATTCCACCCGCCCCATCCATCTTCCCCAATTTAAAAAAAAAAATAAAAAAATAAAAAATTAAACAAATAAATAAATAAAAACAAAAACAAAAACAATCAAACCAAGCCCAGAAAACCCCAAGGAAGGATATTAGGCCTTGCCCTCCACCTGTTCAAAGTGCGGAGATTTTAACAGTTGGTGATGTTGTTTAGGTGTTCGATGTTGGTTTCTGGAAGGTGTTAAAGGTTTTGGATGAAAATTATTACTTGACTAGGCTACTTGGATCTTCTGAGGAGTTTAGAGTGCACAAACATTGGATCCGGGTGTGCCAATTTTGAGAAGATGACAAATGGGACAAATAGGTTGTGATCGGAAAGGTAAACTTCTATGTGGTTTTCTGTATTTTACCAAGCCCAGAAAACCAAGGACGAATCCAGGATTTCAAAATACACTAGGCGGGATTTCCCTTATAAACAAACTCGACAGTACGAGTGAATTTCATTGATAACAAAAATTATACACCTAATCAGGAGGGACATAGTGAGCCTTACCCTCAAAATGCATCTAGTACATAAGATATAAACTAATAAAAAAAGACAATAATAAATAAATATGCAATGCAAATACATAATACAACTATTTGAGTTGCACCCTTCTAGGCTTCAAAGAGTTGAAATCATTAATTATTGATTCGTTATTGATACTATTAGCAAATTCTTTTTCAATGTGAAGTATCATACAATCAGCAAAAAACTCATTCTCTATCTTGTTCCGAAGTCGATTTTTGATGAGTCTCATAGAAGAAAATGCACGTTCTGTTGTTGCTGTAGAAACCGAAAGAGTTAACACTAAACGAATCAATCTATCAATCAAGTGGTAGGTGTGTGTTAACCCTGTTTCAAGTAAGTACTTAAGTAATTCAGGAATAGAATCAAGATTCTTGAATGCTGGAAGACGATCCATATCAGTCTTATAAAATCCCAACTGTTGATGTAAAACCTGCAACTCAGTGATAGTAAAATCTTGAGGATAAAACTTCCCAGCAAGATTGCATATATCACCAATGTTAAACCAATTAAATGAATCGCAGGGATCCAATGTTGAGGTAAGATAAAGAAGTTTCACAGTTTGCTCTGGAAATCTAGTATTTAACTCTACCAACTGAAAATCTATTACATCATTAAATACATCAATACGGAAATAATGCTCAACTATAATAGAATCCTGTTGTTGACAAGAACAACCTGTACCCATTTTATGACGAGCACTCATATCAGGTACACTAATGTCATGTTGTTCACAAAATGATATCACACTTTTGATAAAATCATCCCAACCATTATTTCTCAACTCATCAAGCTTCATTTTTGTACTTGAAACAAGATTCAAAGCATTTACAGTGTCCTGAGATTTTCTTTGAAGTGATTGACAAAGAAAATCTGTGAATCCCATAGCTTTTTCCAAAAAAAGTAAGGAAAAAACAAATTCAAACGACATCATGGCAATATAAATACTCTCAGCTTCCCCACGAAATTGTGATGTAGGTCCATTATGACCTATTTCACCAGGAAGTGTCTTGGTTGCACCAAATAAATCAATTAAACTTCTGATAGAACTAAAATGAGACCCCTAACGAGTAGTTCCAGGTCGTTGCAAACAACGAATTTGATTAGCCCTTTTACCCTTTCCAAGTTTTCCAGACTCTAACAACCCTTGAATTTCAGCTTTTCGAGATAATTTCAACTTAGAATGACGTTTAGCAGAAGCACCAACAAAATTCACAATATTATTCAACATTGAAAAAAATCTCCAAATAACTCTTACCTCTTTAGCTGCAGCATTTAATGCTAGTTGGAGGCGATGAGCAAAGCAATGTATATAATATGCATATGGACAATCATTGAGAAACAATGCTTGTAAGCCATTCCGTTGACCACGCATATTGCTAGCACCATCATATCTTTGGCCATGCATATTCTTCACTAAAAGAGTGTGTTTACCAAGCACTTTACAAATCTCAGTTTTAAGAGTTGAGGAATTAGTATCATGAACACTTATAATCTCAAAAAAACCGTTCTCGAATAAACCCATCACGACCAACAAATCTTAGGATAATAGCCATTTGTTCCTTTTTAGATTCATCAAGTGCTTCATCAACAAGAATACAAAATTTTCCATCCTCTCCAACTTCCTCACGAATCTTCTTCCTTACTTTGTTAGCAAAAATATTTAGGATCTCCTTTTGTATTGTTGATGCAAATATTTCGCATTTCGAGGAGCATTCTCTAAGACAACTTTTTCAACTTCTACAATCATTCTTGAAAAGGCTTTTATCAATGTTGAGGCCCAAAAAATCCATGGTTTGTAGTTGTTTCACTCATGGTTTACAACAAGACCTTCTCTACAGTTGTTCGATATGGTTAATGTCGAGTATGGTGTTCTATGACTTGCTTGTCAAGTTGGGCATGCGAAACATCTTTGTATCAACTTGAGGGGGAGTGTTAGCGAGTTCTTACTTAGTTAGGATTTTGGTTCTTTATTGATAGGACCCGCCCTGAATTCCTCGGAATCCATGATGAACCCTGTGGTCCTTCCGACATCCACCCGATGCCAGGCCCACTTACTAACATCATCCTCTTCTCCAAACAAACAAAGGAGAAGAGGGTTGAGACTTTTTGCCAAAATTTCGGCAGAGTCTCTCCCCTGAAAAACGGACTTTCCTAAAAAATTTTAAGTTGTCAAAACACAATTATAAACCCAACCATTAGCATGCACAATACAAAGGGTTGGCCTTACATCCAACCCTAACATGGGTGATAACGAAGAATTCTAGAGAAATTCAGTTTACAAATGAAAACAAAGTTCAATGGAAATCGAGACAAATAAAAGTTATCCTACAAAAGTTCGGGGCTCGGAAGTTCCAATCTTGGCTCTACCACTCGGTTTAGATCAAGCTACTGCCTGGGAGGCGCAAAATAGAAAACTTGTGAGTGGATAAAAACAAAGTTTTATCATAATTGAAAACAACATACTAACCCCACCGTTTGGAAAACGATGCTAAAAACATGCAATTGGAACTATTCATACGAAATCAATTTGAAATTGAGGTACTCACATACTCCCGATATAATATAGTACTATCCAAGTTCAAATCCTTTGACTCTAACCAAACCCCTTCCCGAGATCTAGATTTACAAAAATGTAGTGCGTAAGGAAAGTTTTTAAAGTAGTTAAGCGTATATAAAAATATATAGTTATATACATATAGACCACGAAAATTCTCATGATTGTATAGATATACATCCCAAAATTCATAAATATATACAAATAATATATATATACACATACGTTAATCTCACACCAACACAAGTACCGGGAAAAACAATCCAACCCGGGGATTATTTGACTAGCCCACAGGGTTTCAAGTTTCTACCATGCGTCTAGGGATAAGCTGTCCAATCGAGGGACTAGCACTCTAGAGCACACGCAAGAAAAACCAATGCACGTGTGGCTAAACCAAACCAAACTATGTCCTACACGTGCAGATTGCTTTACCACAAGCCGAAAAATCCAACGCCACGTGTGATAAAGTACTAACATAATCAAATGAGCCCACACGCCGGAAAATCCAACGCCACGTGTGGGTACAGTAACTGGGGGAGGGTACTTAGCATGGTGCAAATACATACTCACATAACAATCAACAAAGTACCCACTCTCATAAACCACTTGCCTAGTTATTTGATGATAAAGTAAATAACAACTTCTCAAAACATATAAACCATATCCACAATAACCATGAACTTCAAATATTAAAATAACCGCAATTTCCATAATTAAACGATATATAAACTCCATAGTCAAAATATTCCAATTTAAATGCATGGTAATTTAATCTTTGAAAATAATGCTTATTCAAAACAAAGTCCACTCACAGAAAGTACGAAGTTGCGTGACCTTGAGAGGGTCCTGCTTGCTAAGCATGCTAAGTCGGAGTACCTATTGAAGAACACGAGGACTAGATTAAATAAAGCACTTCGTACAAGAACTTTAAAACGAACTCCTAGTTTTCTTGAGACTCAAGGTGTGTGCACAACGAACGGGGAGTTTCTAAGGCCCAACTACTCGTTCCGAAAGGTGGAACAACCTTAGAAGACTCTCGGTTAACCGAGTGGTCAAACTTCCCAAACTTGGTCAACCGGGCCTTAAGGGCCCACGACCTCTAATTTCTGATCCAAAAGTTCCTATGGGTTCAACCAAGCCTACTAACACATTCTGTAAGTTTGGTCTCGATCGAGCAATTGGATCGCTCTCGATTGCACAATCAGACGATCATCGTTTTACGTAATCTTTGAATAATTGATTCGGAGTATTCAGGACTTCGATTCTTGATCCGCGAGTTCCTATACGATCCTAGAGGTACCGAGAACAACATACTTGAAAATGAAGCAAATCCAATGGATCGAATATATCGAACCCAGATATCGCCTAATAGGCATAAATCTTTTCAACAGTAAAACGATAACCAAATTCAAATATGAGCATACCGTCATGCTCGAGACTACATGTGGAACACTTTATAACAAAATGGGCCACCACACCATGGCCCACGCACCACCACACAAGCCAGCAGTGTGTGGGGTGTCTTGAGAAAATTCCTGCAACTGGAAAATTCTTGAAACACCCAACAATACCTATACCTACGTGTTTGTAACAACTAGGGGAGCAACTTTTGGTCTTGGGCCACGACCTAAAAGTGGCCGGAGCTTGCTGAAAAATCAAGCCAAAAATCGGCCAAAACTTAGGTTCTAGATTGAGCTTCAAAAACCCAAAATTGACCCAAACCACCTAGATACATAGCTAGAGCTCGTTAAGAGGGTGAGAAAGCATACATGGGTCGACAAATTTCATCACCGGAGCCGCCGAAAACATCGTTTGAAAATTCAAGGGAAAACCAGCCTTTTTCGAGCTTCCGCCAGCAAGGGAGTGGCTGGGCTCATCTAAGAAGGGGGGAAACAAGAAGAGGGGGCCGAGCCGGTCCTTTTGGAGGTGATTTCGTGAACCAACGTTGGCCGGACAACAGAGATCTAGTCGGTCAAAGCTAGCCGCTGTGTACCAAGAGGATAGAGAGAGAGAGAGAGAGAGAGAGAGAGAGAGAGAGAGAGAGATTAAACTGGGTTTTCAAAATTCTGACTTTGAAAAATTTACAGTTGTGCCACTGCACTTCCGTTTGTCCATAACTTCTTCGTTAAAACTCCAATTTGAGCCCACTACATGTCTACAAACTCATATCGACAAGCTCTACGCAATGGTGTCACTCAATCCTCAAAAATCCTTACAAAATCAAAAAGTGACTAACGTGGCCTTGCCTCAAGGGTAAAATTGTAATTTCACAATTAAATAAATTAAATAAACGGTTAAAATTGGGTCGGGTGTCACATTTACTATGTTAGGATTTTTGGTAATTTATTATTTGTCTAGTCCTATTGTAATTGAGATTTATTTCTTATTATAATTTAGATGTATCTTCTATTGTAATTTATATTTATTTCCTATTTTATTTAGGGTTGTACTTCCTCATAAATACCTCCATATTAGGGAAGAATACATAATTGAATATTTGCCCTACTTTGTTTGACTACTAATTCCATAGAAATGCATATTTAAGCTCACATCAACTTCATCAAGCTATAGACTAGAGATTGATGATATCAATTGAGATAAAATATATAGCTAAGCCTAAGAAGATCTTAGATAAACAACATGTGTGTTAAAGGAAAGAAAATAAGTCAATGATCTGTTATAGAGAGATTGTAGGAACTGAATGCAATTATCATATAATCAGTACCTATTTACCTAGAATAGCCATTCCTTGTATGTATAGAATTCCTTACCTAGAATAGCTGTTCTCGTCTGTATATAATTCCTAGTTCTGTATGAAGTTAAAGATATATATACAAAGATATCAATCTTCTCATGGTATCAGAGCTTTAGACGACTCTGAAGTACAAACACCTTCCGCTACAAACACAAATACAGATATCAAACACCATACACAGCAACCATGGCTGAATCAAATACCACAAAACCAACAGACACCTCCTCCGATCCACTCTCTTTACACAACTCCGACACACCTGGACTTTCCCTAGTCAACTTCAAGCTTGAAGGCCACAACTATGGCCAATGGAGCAGATCTATGCATCTCAGCCTCAGCGCCAAGAACAAACTTGGATTCGTTGATGGATCTGTCAAGACACCATCATCTGATGACTCAAAATTCCCATTGTGGCAGCGCTGCAATGATATGGTTTTGTCATGGATCTTGCACTCCCTTCATCCTGACATAGCCAGCAGCGTTCTCTACGCTAAAACAGCGGCTGCTGTTTGGACTGACCTTCGAGATCGATTTTCACAGAGCAATGACTCCAGGATTTATCAGATTCGACAAGAAATTGTCGAGTGTCGACAAGGACAGCAAACAATCTCCATCTATTACACGAAGTTGAAAGCTCTTTGGGATGAGTTAGCCTCATACCAAGAGCCTTTTTCCTGTGACTGTGAAGGGATGAAGAACCTTGCCGAGAGAGAAGAAAAAGAGAGAGTGATGCAGTTCTTGATGGGCTTGAACGACACCTATTCTACGGTTCGAGGATCGATTCTGATGATGAATCCCTTGCCTGATACGCGCAAGGTTCACGGTCTGGTTCTTCAGCATGAACGCCAGGTTGAGGTGACCAGCCGGAATGACAGTCTGATCACTCCCCATGCAATGCAAATCAGTCGTTCCTCGGTGGCTGGATCTTCACAACCCCGCAAATCCCTGAAGTGCACATATTGCGATGGAGATGGCCATACGAAAGAACGCTGCTACTTCATCATTGGTTTCCCTGTTGGCCATAAATGGCATGGGAAAAACGTCAAGCCCAGAAACCAACGTTACAACCCAACAGCTCACAATGTTGAACTTCATCAGTCACCAGCCAAACATACTGACACTGCCAAGACAACCACTGCTAATGGCCCAACCTTCACCACCGAGGAGTACAACGAACTTCTTGACATGCTTCGCAATAAAAAGGGTAACATTCAGCCACTGGCACATGCAACAGGTATCATTACACCCACTTGTAATATTGCACAACATGATCCACATTCCACATTATATTGGATTGTCGATAGTGGAGCAACGGATCACATTTCTCATATGCCTCCTACACATAACCACACCGCAACACATCATGAATTTGTTGGCTTACCCAACGGAGAACAAGCAGCAATATGCAACACTGGGTCTATTAAATTATCATCCGATTTGTCTCTTGATGGAGTTTTACATGTCCCGAAATTTCGTGTCAATTTGTTATCCGTCAGTAAATTAACTCGGGCTCTACGATGTATTGTAATTTTTTCTCCGGATTTTTGTGTTGTGCAGGACGTGGATACGAAGAAGACGATTGGCCTGGGCAAGCATTTTGATGGGCTTTACTACCTTTTGCCTACCCAAAATCCTCATCTAGCTAGTCATGTTCGTCGTATCTCAACTCTTTGGCATCAACGTCTTGGGCATCCGTCATCTGCACCCCTTCACCATTTGTCCAAGATTATTCCAGAAATAATGTTTAATTCCAAGCATATTTGTGATGTTTGCCCTTTGGCTAAACAAACTAGATTACCTTTCCCTTCCAGTTCAATTAAAACCGTTGCACCTTTTGATCTTATTCATTGTGACATTTGGGGACCTCACAACACCCGTACCCATTCTGGGGCACGTTATTTTTGACGATTGTTGATGATTTCACTCGTTTCACATGGGTTCATCTTCTGAATTTTAAATCCGATACACAAACCATTTTGCAATCATTTTTTTCTTGGGTTAAAACTCAATTTAATCGTTCCATTAAAACCCTTCGTTCTGATAATGGTGGTGAATTCCTATCCATGCGCTCATTCTTCCTCACTCATGGCACTAATTTTCAACATTCTTGCACATATACCCCTCAACAAAATGGGGTCGTTGAACGAAAACATCGCCATCTTTTGACCATTAGTCGAGCACTTCGTTTCCAAGCCAACTTACCCTTACACTTTTGGGGAGATAGCCTTCAAACAGCATGTTACCTCATCAATCGGCTTCCTTCCCCTTTACTCTCTCATCATACCCCTTATGAGCTATTACATGGGACTTCCCCTATATATTCTCATCTCCGGGTTTTTGGGTGTCTTTGTTATGCCACTAACCTTACACCCACTCACAAGTTTGACACTCGGGCTCGTCGTTGTCTTTTTCTTGGTTATCCTCTTGGTCAGAAAGGCTATCACGTCTTTGATCTTGACACAAAGAAATTTTTTGTCTCTCGGGATGTTGTGTTTCATGAACACATATTTCCTTTGTCTGATCATCCCCTCACACATCAAACACCCACAACCACTCTGCCTATTCCTCCTTCCACGTTAGACCTGTCTTTACCCACCTTTCCTCTCACACGTCCGGCCCAAGATAACCCACACTTACCACCCTCACCTTCAGCAGATCCGGCCCAAGCTAACCCACACTTACAACCCTCACCTTCAGCAGATCCGGCCCAAGCTAACCCACACTTACCACCCTCACCTTCAGCGGATCCGGCCCAAGTTGACCCGGCCCAACTTCTATCTTTTATTCCCCTTTCAGATCCCTCGTTCCCTTCGCCCTCCCCACTCTCCATGCCGCCTCTCTCTCCCATCGATGGCGGCTCTGGTGCTCCTTTGCCGTTACTTGGCCCTTCATCGACCTCCCTTGATCCACCCATACCGTCGACCTCCCTTAATCCCCCGATGTCGCCGACCTCCTCTGATCCCCCAGTCCATCTCAACCCCACCGACCCACCCCATTTACCTCGTCGGTCTGAGCGTGTTAAACGCCCTCCTTCACATTTTCACAACTATAAAGCTCATCACACCGCCTTGCTCACACCTGGGGCCGTCTCTTCCTCCACGTCCGGAACTCGATATCCCCTTCATCGGTATATCTCTTACTCTGGCTTATCTCCTGCATATCGAAATTTTGTATGTAATATCTCTCGGTTGGTCGAGCCATCTTCATATGCGCAGGCTTGTCAGGATCCCAAATGGGTTGCTGCGATGAACTCTGAATTGCAAGCCCTTGAAGCCAACCACACCTGGTCTTTGGTCCCTCTGCCTCCCGGCCATCGCCCAATTGGCTGCAAGTGGATCTTTCGAATCAAATACAACTCTGATGGCACAGTTGACCGTTACAAGGCTCGTCTTGTTGCCAAAGGGTTCAATCAACGCGAAGGTATTGACTTCACCGACACCTTTGCTCCTGTTGCAAAATTGATCACTGTCCGCTGCTTACTGTCTGTTGCTGCTGCTCGCGATTGGCCTCTACATCAAATGGATGTCCATAACGCCTTTCTCCATGGCGACCTCCAAGAGGAGGTTTACATGTTACCCCCGCCCGGTTCTCGTCGACAGGGGGAGCATGTTGTATGTCGACTTCACAAGTCCTTATACGGACTCAAACAAGCTCCACGAAGTTGGTTTCGCAAGTTTTCATCTGCTATTTGTGGCATTGGCTTCAAGCAATCTCGGGCCGATTACTCTTTGTTCACACATGTACAGGGAAGTTCCTTAACTGTTATATTGCTTTATGTGGATGATATGATAATCACAGGCAATGATGAAAAGGCAATCTGTAAGCTGAAACACTTTCTTGGCAGTCAATTCAGAATAAAAGATCTCGGATCCTTAAAATATTTTCTTGGTGTTGAGGTGGCACGATCGAAAACAGGGATCTCTATTTGTCAACGCAAGTATACTCTTGACATTTTGGAAGAAGCTGGACTACTTGGAGCTAAACCAGCCAAGGTTCCCATGGATCCTGATTTAATATTATCTCCTACAGGTGAACTGCTCAAAGACCCTACTCGGTATCGCCGGTTAGTTGGCAAGTTGATCTATCTCACAATTACCAGACCAGAAATCACTTATGCAGTCAACACCCTTAGTCAGTTTATGCAAGAGCCGAAACGCCAACATCTTGATGCTGCATATCGTCTTCTCCACTACCTTAAAGAAGCTCCAGGTCAAGGGTTGTTATTCTCTGCCAAGAACAAGTTGAAACTAATTGGCTATTGTGATGCAGATTGGGCTCGATGTCCAATCACACGTCGATCAGTAACTGGATATTGTATCTTTCTCGGTAATGCACTAGTGTCTTGGAAAAGCAAGAAACAGGTTACAATAGCACGATCATCTGCTGAAGCCGAATATCGTTCAATGGCTGCAGCTACATGTGAACTCACTTGGCTAAGATATCTGTTGCAGGATCTGCGTGTTGCACATTCGGAACCTGCAAAGTTGTTTTGCGACAATCAAGCGGCTTTATACATTGCAGCGAATCCAGTGTACCACGAACGAACCAAACACATTGAGCTTGATTGTCACACTGTTCGTGAAAGAATAGAAAGAGGTGAGATCAAGACTGGATATGTGCAGACAGGAGAACAGATAGCTGACTTGTTTACCAAACCATTAAGGGCACCTGCCTTCAGTTCACTTCTTGGCAAGTTGGGTGTTATCAACATCCACATTCCAACTTGAGAGGGAGTGTTAAAGGAAAGAAAATAAGTCAATGATCTGTTATAGAGAGATTGTAGGAACTGAATGCAATTATCATATAATCAGTACCTATTTACCTAGAATAGCCATTCCTTGTATGTATAGAATTCCTTACCTAGAATAGCTGTTCTCGTCGGTATATAATTCCTAGTTCTGTATGAAGTTAAAGATATATATACAAAGATATCAATCTTCTCAATGTGTGATTTAGACCATCATGCAAGATTTTTCTTGTTTAAAAATCAATTTTTCATTTGAAGAAGATGAACTTTTTCCCAAAACAACAGTTGTAGCGAACACACTAAGGGCCATTTACTACATTTTCATATACATAAATTGATTCTCCATTGATCACTCATGTGCCTCCATACGTCACTCATCACACCAAATAATCAAAATATTCACTCCATGCTAAGAGAGTTTATTGCATTCATAGGCTACTATAACAAACACATAAGGCATACATAATATCTCGGGTCTAAGGTTTAACTGTATTGTTGTAACATAGAATCTCTTATTTGACACGTATATCATAGATTTAAAAAAAAAAAAAAAAAAAAAAAAAAAAAAAAAAAAAACTAGTCATATCAGCATATCTTCGTCCTGCATTTTGAGCACTTGTACACTTGTTTTAGTGTTTTCAAAAATGATCTCAAGACTCGTAATTGTCCCGATTGAACAATGCTAGTTTTCATGTATGTTTGTGCATATAATGGAATTATGAATGTTCAGTCAATATTGTTGAAGAATATAAAGTCCCACATCGGAAACCTAACTAAATAAAATACACTATATATTGAGTAGTTCCACTACTAATATCACCGAGACCTTTTGTGATAAAGCCCCACAACTATTGATCTTGTAGGTGGTTACATTGGGGACAATATCGGTGTTGCTAGCAATGGGCCGCCGGCCCGTCTCTTTGAAATTTAACATGGTATCATAGCTAAGCTGATTGACTGTGCTTAGATTATTTGGGCTTGAATGTTTACCCTTACCCAATACATGATGTAATTTAATAATGTCCCTTTTGACTATGAAAGTTTTAGGAAGGTCTTCACATTCTCTGGTATCATATATTAGTGTTTTTTTTATGGTCAAATTGATCATATATTAGTGTTATTCTTCACTTCTGCCCATGAAACTTATTAATAAATTATATAACCACAATACTGTTTAGCCATTTAATTCATTTATATAAATAAAAAAAATTATAAACGAATTATCTCCCATTATGATTCTTAGTCAAATGATTGACTTCACAGATTAGAAATAATATTACACTAGTGAATTGCGCACTCAGTTGTTAGTGAAGGAAAAAAGATCCCTTGCAACTAGACAGGCTCAAGTGATATTATATCTTGCAATTTCTATGGTTGCTTACCCCACCAATAACCCAAGACGCACTAGTTTTTACATCAAACCCTAAAAAAAGGTTCATTTTCTCTTTCACGTAAAAAAGTTGAGGTTTGATTTGAGGACCGAGAATTTTGTTAGAATCACAATGTGGACATGAGACAATGTTTCTTCTTTAATACAATTTAAACTACTCTAAACTAATTTAATGTATGAGAAGAGAATTCAAACTTGGATATAAGAGTACGACTACGTGCACACTGTCCTAACCGACGCGTGTGTGTGACATTGGACAGCTTGTGGGAAAAAAAAACAACCAATACAATCAGCAAGGAAACTCATTGGCGCCTAGTATTGTTGAACGTGGAAACAACGGCAGATGGAGGTCAGTCTTTTTCTTGTGCACACAAACAAACCCGGTTCAAGCAAAGACCAACGGATCATTCACGGCATGATCAGATCATTCAAGGGGGCACTTGTCTAGTCTCATGAGACTAAAAAAATTTCCACAAACAAACGATTTTGAGTGGAAACTGCACAAAAAATTAAAAATTAAAAAGATGAACTCCCTCCCCTGTCTCTGTTGGTTCACAATTTTCTAGTCTTCGTTCTTTTTTCTCTTTTTTGTTCTTTTCCATTTTACGCGTTTTTGAACAAGCTTAGTAGTCAAGCATGGGCTCCACACTGGCCACTCATTTTTTAGTCTGAGTCTCGAAGTCTTAGTCTTTGTTGAGACCCAGCAGTCAAGTCAACTCTACTCCCAACATTTTCTTTCCTTTCCCATTCCCGCAAATTTCCATTTCCCCAAAACCACACAAAACTAACACAAACATCTCTGTGTCATTCTCTTTTACCTTAAATCCCTCTATATTTTAAGCCATCTACTCTCATTCTATGCTCTCTGGCTACCTTCTTTCTTCTGTCTCCTCCTCCCCCTGAAATCACATAAATTATATACAAAATCTACCTCACGTGCCTTCTTTGGTATAGAAAATTGAAGTGACAAAGAGTCTTTACTTTGGCACACAGCTGAAATGACCAGGTATGGCAGCACCACCTCGCTTCTCTCCTATTTTTATTTCTTCTTCTCCTTGTTTTTCTGCCCTATGGTGTTTTCTCAACTATCCTCAAACCAAAAAACCACTATGATCAATCTCTCCAAGAGTCTAAATGTCACTAGTATTTCATGGGATATCAACAAAGAGCCAAACCCATGTTTGTGGAAAGGAGTTAGCTGCAATTCCCCTTCCAATTCATCTGTTATCAAAATTTCCTTATCTGGGGTTTTTCTATCTTCCGCAGATTTTCTGCCCCTTGTTTGCCAGATTGAGTCCTTGCAGAATCTTGATGTTTCAGGCAATCGTCTGAGCAAAATCCCATCTAAGTTTCTCTCAGATTGTGGAAAACTTCATGAGCTAAAGCTACTCAATTTTAGCTATAACAATTTGGAGGGTTCTTTGCCTCTATTTGTTGGTTTTGCTGGGTTGGAGGTCTTAGACTTAAGTCATAATAGGTTGAGTGGAGCCATTGATTTAGAGTTAGATGGGTTAGTTGGGCTCAGAAGCTTGAACCTTAGCTCGAACCATTTCACTGGCTCTGTTCCTACCCATCTTGGAAAATCCAAGGTCTTGAAGGAGCTTCAGCTTTCTATGAATAAGTTTCATGGCATAATCCCTGTTGATATTGTGGGCTACCGCAGTTTGACTCTGATTGATTTTAGTGTAAATAATATTTCTGGGTCTGTTCCTAGTGCAATTGGAGAGCTCTCCAAGTTGGAGGTTTTGATTCTGTCGTCCAATGACTTATCTGGCGAAATCCCACAAAGCCTTTCCAATATCACAAGCCTTACCCGTTTTGCTGCAAATTCTAACAAATTCAATGGTTCAATTCCTGCGGGAATTACAGAACATCTGAGAAATTTGGACCTAAGCTATAATACCTTAAGTGGGTCGATTCCATCGGAACTTTTGTCTCCATTGAATCTGCAGACTGTGGATTTGTCTAATAATAGATTAAACGGATCGATACCTACAGCTCTTTCTCCGAGCTTGGTCAGATTGAGATTGGGAAGCAATTCACTTAATGGGAGGATCCCTTCTGCAATAATTACAAGGGACCAAAGGTTGACATACTTGGAGATGGAAAACAATAGTTTGAGTGGAGGGATTCCTCCTGAATTGGGTTCTTTCCAGAGTTTGGCACTGTTGAATTTGGCTCAGAATCAGCTGTCTGGGGCTTTGCCAGTGGAGTTGGGTAACCTTAGCCATCTTCAAGTCTTGAAACTTCAATTTAACAACTTTACTGGTGAAATCCCAATTCAAATTACTCAATTGTCGAAGTTGTCGATTCTAAATATCAGCTGGAATTCTCTGAATGGTTCAATACCACCTTCGGTTGCAAGCTTGGAGAATCTCATTAACATGAATTTACAAGGCAACAATCTCAATGGTTCGATACCGGAAAATATTCGCTCCATGACTTCTCTGATGGAACTCCAACTTGGACAAAATCACTTGAGTGGTGACATTCCAAGCATGCCAACTACTTTGCAGATTGCTTTGAATCTCAGCAGCAATCTTTTTGAAGGACATATTCCGGAAAATCTTGCCAGGCTCACGGGATTAGAAATTCTGGATCTCTCAAATAACAAATTCTCAGGTGAGATACCCACATTTTTTAGGCAGTTGGGAGCCTTGACGCAGTTGATACTTTCCAACAATCAGCTCTCTGGAAAAATTCCAGAATTTAGTCCTTGGGTCATCGTCAACACAAGTGGAAATGAGGGTTTGACTAACTCTACGACACCAAGCACGTCACCGAAAAAGAAAGGAAAACCAATTGCACTGACAATTGTTCTTGCAGTTATAGCAGCTGTTTTTGCTGTTGGAGGGATCACCATCATTGCTATATCACTGTCACGACAAACCACAATCAGGGTTAACGATGAACAACCACAATCAGGGGAAGATCTTCCTGTTCCTGAGGTCCTCCAAGGCAATCTCTTAACTGCAAATGGTATTCACAGATCAAATATCGATTTCACTAAAGCAATGGAAGCAGTTTCTGACCAGTCAAACATTGTGCTGAAGACTAGGTTTTCAACTTACTACAAAGCCATCATGCCGTCTGGATCAAGCTACTTTGTCAAGAAGCTTAACTGGAGTGACAAGATATTTCAATTGGGCAGCCATGATAGATTCGCAAATGATTTAGAGGTCTTTGGGAAACTAAGCAATTCCAATGTCATGACGCCTTTGGCCTATGTTTTGACTGTTGACAGTGCGTATCTGTTCTATGAGTTTGCTTCAAAAGGAACCCTTTTTGATGTTCTTCGCGGTAGCTCAGGTGATGACATGGACTGGGCAAGCAGATACAGTGTTGCGGTTGGAGTAGCTCAAGGTCTTGCTTTTCTTCATGGGTGCACCCCACATCCAATACTCCTCCTTGACATGTCAAGCCGAAGCATTTTGCTGAAGTCCCTCAAGGAGCCTCTGATTGGAGAAGCTGAGCTCTGTAAGGTGATTGATCCCTCAAAGAGCACTGGAAGCCTTTCTACTATTGCTGGTTCTGTTGGCTACATTCCTCCAGGTCAGCAATTCTCTGACTTCACCTTGCAGTAACATAAAATTGTTTGTCATTCCTGACTTCTCAGTTTACTGGCTTTGTTTTCTCCTTGGATATGTGTTAAATTCTTTATTGCCTTGTACTTCAGTAATTTGGTGGATGTAAAAGTCAGTGATTGTGTCTAAATGTTCTCTTTTTTTTTGTGGTGGCAGAGTATGCATACACTATGCGGGTAACAATGGCCGGGAACATCTATAGCTTCGGGGTCATTCTGCTGGAATTGCTGACCGGAAAACCAGCAGTTAGTGAGGGGGTTGAGTTGGCCAAGTGGGTCTCAAATAACTCATTGCAGCAAGAAAAATGGGATCACCTTCTTGATTACAGTATCAGCAGGACATCAACTGCCGTCCGAAGCCAGATGCTTGCGGTCCTGAAAATCGCTCTTGCTTGTGTTAATGTATCACCAGAAGCAAGGCCGAGAATGAAGATTGTTCTTAGGATGCTGCTGAATGCAAGATAAAGTTTTAAGCGCCGTGAGAGACAGTCAGTATTAAACAGCAGTTTCATGCATAAGATGAAACCCGAGTTTTGGTGTGTTCCTACTACTACTAGAATATTAGTAGTGCCATGATGTTGTGAAAAGCTTATGTGCAACTATAGAAGTAAAATGTATGTAAAATATAGAAAAATTATTTACTGAACTGAAATAAATTTATGCTTTCCCACTTCAATTAGAAGACCAAAACTCAAGTTCCTGCCGGAACAGCATTTCCAACATGAATGCTTTGAGCTGTTGGCCTTATGCTGGTCAGGCAATTAGTAAGGAAGTTCAATTTTCAAACGCAATAACTAATTTCCAGCATAGCTCTTAGAGCAAATTTTATTAAAAATAAATAGGAAATTATAACTAATCGCTTCATGAGTGTACTTTGCAAATGGATTTGACTAGCAATACATTTGATGTTAAATGCTTAAGCTGCAAATTTCTTTCAATCGACCCATACATACTGTTACAACCCTCAACCAGTTTTCGTGCTATAGCCAACACAAGAAACGAAACAAAAAGACTGATACAATAAACAACGGCCAGCCGGAATTCATGACAACCTTTGACGAACTAAAACTAAAACTCAATTTGCGTTTATATTCAAAATTCTTTTCCTATTCTTCATTAAATTGACCAAGCATCCCGCCAAAGCTAACTGATTAACAATCATAGAGTGACTGACAGGATCAAATCGAGGAAAATCCCCGACAATGTGATAGACAAGAGGCATCCGTTGGTGCCAGGACATGTCAGAGACTAGAAGGTAAGATCTTTGGGGTCCTCAATAATCTTTGCCAAGGTTTGCAAGAATGAAGCAAGATCAGCACCATAAATTATACGATGATCAGCGGTAACATTTACCTGTAAATAATTGCACGTTGCAAGAATTAGATTTTCTAGTTGACTTTAATAAATTAAGTAAAACTTTGAATATGTTACCTGCATTTGGTTCTTTCTACCAATCCGACCATCCTTAGTACCCACAACAGTAGGCTGAGATGCTCCAACAGCCATAATTGCTCCCTGTGGAAATTGAAACCAGAAACACTCAAATATTAAAAACCACCGATTGAACGCATACATCTTAAATCTCTAATAGATAATCAAGCAGGAGGAAAGCATAAAAAGTGACACTTACAGTTCCAGGTGGCAGAATAGCATCAAACCGATCAACACCAAACATCCCAAGATTAGAGACAGTGAAAGTACCTACAAAAACAGAAAACAGTTATTCTACTGAATCAGACATAGAAAGTAAGGCCACTTGTTTGAACGTCAATAAAACAAGTATAAAAGATCATATAAGTGAATAATAGAAAAGTAACCATGTAGGCATACAGGTAATCTTGTAAAATTTCTAACTGCCTTCACTACGTGGCATAAAAACTTTTATAATTGCCACAAGTTCAGTAGTGATGGATCCAAAATCTATATGATTGAATGATCATTACATCCCAGAAGCCATCAACTAAGGTTCATACACCAAAACTTAAAAAAGTAAAATTAGGAAGAAGAATGGAAGAAGCCCTGAATTGCCCAAAACAAGACACAGAAGGCCCTCAGGTACTCCACCGTAGTGGATTTCTCTTCATGCCTAATATAAGGCAGACTAAAACTTAAGGGTCAGACCCTTAGAATGCAACCACGCAAAATTGTACCACTGAGAAAACCTTTAGACACTGTTGCTCTAATGTGCATCCTCGCTGTACTGATGCTCTGAATTAAAAGACAATGAGGGAGAATTCTACTATCGCAGCCAAAGCTTCTTTGTCAATCTTGGAGTTGAACAAAAGTTGAGGCCTCAGAGAGCCAAGACTGAGTTGGAGCATCTAATTGAACCCACTTACGAAACCGGTGGGTATTAATTTGAGAACTGGAGGAACCTATATGCCAACCTAATTATACAAGTTAAGGAGAACATGAGACTGCTAATATGCAATGACCATGTCTGGGCATTGTTGCTTGGGTTAAACAGACACATAACTGCATGAACAATGCTCAATTTGTTCTCATTATTCAGCTGTGATATTCAATTTCATACCACGATAAGGCATAAAATTTAGTTAGTCTTTATCATACTTTAGCTAAATAATTAAAAGTTCAGGAAGGGAAAATTATTGACATCCTACAGACTTAAGTCCAGATATAATTCCAGATGTGCTGTTGATTTAATGGATGAGAACTTATGGGCAACTTAATCCTTGTTTGGATCATGCAGTAAGAATACACCCAAAAAATTCAAATCAAATGGAAAATCAGTGCATATAAATTTCTCTATTGTCCAAGTGAAATTAATTTCTTTCATATCAATTACATCAAATGAGACAGTAAACAACTGTCTTCCCACGTAATAAATTTGATAGAAATTATCATGCATTTTGAAGCATATTATAAAAGTTTTAAAAGCTTTTCACACGCAAAGGTCTTTCATTTTGCAAGTAACAGAAAAACACAGTTTTTGTTAAAACAGAACATGACAATGTAATGGACAGTATACCTAAGAATCTCATGTGTTATTTGCTCAACATATTATTTATCATTTATGCAAGTAATAGTAGTACCTGTATTGTATTCATGAGGTTGCAGTTGCTTAGCCCTGGCCTTGTCAACTAACTCCTTCCACTTTCTTGACAATGAATATATGTCAACCTGACCCATTAAATATTTCTAGCATCAGGACCACCAAACACCTTCCCAAAACAAAAGAAACCAACACTGTAAATCATGGAACATTTAAAGGCAAAAACCTTGTCCGCATCCTGAAGCACTGGTGTAATCAACCCACCATCGATTGCCACTGCTACTGCAATATTAATGCTGCTATTATAGGTAAAGCTCTTACCATCCCTACAGCCAGAGTTGACAACAGGATGTTTAACCAACGCAAGTGCTGTTGCCTTCGCAAGCAATGCTGTCATGGTAACTCCCTTTGACTTGATCTAGAAGTAAATTATAAATCCACTCATCAGAACAGAATGACATGGTAGCATTAATTTATCAATCTACAATCCTGATTCAGAGTGCTCAAACAGTAAGCCACATTCTCGATCAGAACAGAATGACATGGTAGAATTAACTTATCAATCTACAATCCTGATTCAGAACACTCAAACAGTAAGCCACATTCTAGTAAAAAAAATGCTACCTTAGTAAGGAAGCAAGCACATACTTTGGACTACAATAGTTTGCATTTAAATGGTGGAAAAAGAAATCTCTTTTTCATGAAAATGTCAAATTATCAAGAAGAGGCTCAAGTTTAATCAAGCAAACCATGGAAAATGTTGGAACCCAAATTACCTCAAACCCATACTTTCAGTGCAGAGCATGAAATCTTTATGAAGCAGTATGCAAATGTAATGAACACTGAGTTTGAATTTTAAACTACCAAAATCCCAATTAGAAATCCGCATCTTTATTTGAGAATGCGCAATGTTTATATTTCACCCAGTGTTACCTTTTTGTACAGAGCATCCAGAGCATCAGTGGTGATAGTGTATCCCACTCTGAAAGTAGGCACTGAGAGACTCTCAAGCATGTTCCTACTCACAGCCCCCTGCATTGTTGTAAAAGGCACCACCGTCCCCAACTCAATCCCCGCCTCAGCATCCGCCGACTTCCGAACGCTTGGTTCAGGAGCGACCTCCGTCACCTGAGCAGCAAAGGCTTCCACATTCTTAGCCACAATCCTCCCCAATGGCCCAGTTCCCACCACTGCCCCCAAATCCACCTTCAACTCCCTTGCCAGCTTCTTCGCATACGGCGATGCCACGATTCTCTTTCCTCCCTCGGATGCCGGGTGAGTCGAAGACACCGCCGCCACAGCCGCCGCCTTAGGGACCACCGCGGGACCTACATTATCCGGAATTTTCTCCGGTTGCGGCTCTGGAGTTGCTGCAGCTGGAGCCGCTGTTGGTGCTGCCGATGAAGAACTGGCCTTTGCCTTGGCCTCGGCGATCTCCTCTTCGGTCTCAGCCAATAGCGCGATAGCTGAACCGACGGCGGCGACGCCGCCTTCCTCGACCATAATTGAGGCCAAGTAACCGTCGTAGAAAGTCTCGACGTCCATGTCGGCCTTATCGGATTCGACGACGACGACGCTCTCGCCCTTGGAGAGCTTCTCGCCCTCGGACTTGACCCAAGACACGATCTTGCCCTCAGTCATGGTAGAGCTCAGCGCCGGCATGAAGATCTCGCGAATCTTGGCCTGGACTTGAAGCCTGCTCCGGCGCCCGGAAATTAGAGCCGGCGCAGAGGAACTAGGGCTCCGGCGGAGGGTTTGAGAGCTGGGGAGGAAGGAGGTGTTGAGAAGGCGAGCCATTGGTATAGGCTGTCAGTGAGAGAGAGAGAGAGAGAGAGATAGAGAGGAAGAGAAGCTCACAGGGTCTTTGGTTTCAAATTAATGGGGAGTGTTGTTTTGTGAGTATGTCATACTTGTCATTTGAGTGTCTTTCTCGAATGCATCGAAACGATGGCGGAGGTTCCAACTACTTCACCGGTGAATGTGATGAGGTGCTTTCGTTCTGCTTCGTTTTTGTAAACTTTTAAATAATAATTCGGAAATTTGCATAAATACTACCTGAACTTTTAGTTTTGTGCACAATTACCGCATAGATTTTTAATTTTTACTATTAACCACCTAAAGTATGCAAAATATTATAATTTACCACCTACGTCTAACTCCATTAAAGATTTAAAGATTCTGTTAAGTATAGGAGAAATGTGTTGAAATGGGGCGGGGAAGGTGTCGGATAATTAAGTTGGTTTGTTTGTTTCTTTTAATAAATTAATTTTTTCTTTTAAGTTTTGTTAGTTACATACTTACGAAAGTTCCTTTCAAAAAAATGTCGTATGCATACATCATGTGATTTGACTTAACGAAAACTTTAGGGCATGTTTATTAATTAGGAAGCGGGATAAATAGGAATCGGAGTAACCAGGAATCAGGTTAAGCAGGAATCATGTTAAATGGGAATCAAAGTCATGCATTCTAATTAATTGTTTACTAACTGTCAGGAATCGGAATGAAATAAAACTGATTTCCATTAAAACCGTTTACTATTGTTAGGAATCGTCAAAACCAATTTGATTACCAAAATTCCCTTGCACAAAACCATTTTTATTTTGTTCAACTAGTTACATAATTTTTCAAATGAATTTTTTTAAACACATTAACAATAAACCAACTTTATGGTAAATAAAACAAAAAAAAAAAAAAGAAGAAAAAGAAAACTTTGGTTAGGAAAAAAAAACGAGATATGAAATGGAAGAAGAAGAAGAATATGGCGATATGAGAGAGAGAGAGAGAGAGAGAGCATGAACCCAATCCCAGCGAGGACTCGAGGAGGCACACCACACACAAAACACAAGGGTATTTTTGTGTTAGTAGTAAAAATATGAGGGTAGTTTTGGCATGAAAATGTTGAATTCCATTTCACCCATCTCCAATCCCACATCCCCCTTCAGTAATCTGATTCCCCCAATATGAGTAGAGTGATGATTTCCCTACTCTAATTTTATCCACTTACACTCCATTTTATAACTAAAAAAAGAGTGTAAATGGATAAAATTGGAGTGGGGAAATCATTACCCTATGAGTAATGTGATAATTGATTTTATGTGGGGTCCACACTTTTTTTGATTCCTGGATTGTTAGTGGGGGTGGACATCGGGACTGGAAAAACCGAAACACCGAATCGGACCGACTGAAAAAAATTGAGAAAAAAAAACTAGTTGACCAAAAAAGTCAACCAATTAGACCAGAACTGGACCAAATCGGTTCCAATCGATTTTGGTTCTGGTTTCACACCGCACCAAACCGAACCAGACCTGTTGTATTTTTTAATTTTATTTTTTTCACAAAATTTTAAAATCCAATGCTATATTTTTATTTTATAATTAATATTTTTTCAAGTTCAACTTCAAAAAATTTCTTAGTGTACGAATGGGATCATTTGTTAATTTTCAAACCCAAAAAATAACTTATTTATTATAATTTTATTTCTTTAATAAAAAAACTTGAAAAAAATTAAAAAAAAGTAATAAAATACTAATCTGGTTCAAAATCGAAATTGGTCAAAACCGAAAGGAATCAGCCAAACGGTTAAAAAAAATTGCTTGAATCGAACCTGTTAAATAATACGGTTCCGGTTCCAATTTGAGGTGAGAACCAAACCGTGCACATCCCTAATTGTTAGTAAGCATAGGAGTACCTTGGAATAGGAATCACTCCCATTCCTTATATTCCGTTCCCCTTTAATAAACATGCCCTTTAGTGGAGTTAAACGTAGATGGTAAATTGGAATACTTTACATAGTTCAGGTGGTTAATAGTAAAAATTAAAAGTCTAGGTGATAATTGTGCACAAGACTAAAAGTTTAGGTGATATTTATGCAAATTTCCCATAATAAAAAGGGAGAAAGGTTGGTGAATTTATCATATGATAATATAAAACATTTCTTCTTTTTTATTTTCTTATTTATTACGGTGAAAGATGAGTGTTTTACAATAGCAAACATCTCCCGAACTTTATTTTTTATTTTTCTAAGAAGTAGTAATAATATTTTACTAATAAAATGAAGAGTAAAACCAATTACAAATACTCGTATATGTCATCAGGGATTAGGCAAGCCGCTCTATACATAATCAGTCATCAGTCTAACTAAGTAGCTTATCCTCTCAACCACAAGCATGAGAAGGAACCTTACCCATGATAGAGTACCCCTCGCCCCCAAGGATCGTACTCGTAAAAACTATTGGTTACAATCCTTTAACAGTACATCAGAAATAAAGTCTGGAGGTTCTTCAAATCAAGATAAAGAAGCTCCAATGTGAAGAGCAAAGCAAGCAATACGATGGGCGACTCCATTAGCAGTTCAATGGATATGCTATGTAACATCAAACACTTGGTATCCTCCACCATAGTCCTAATCAGGAACCGATATCTTATTAAATGGGTTTTGGGTTTTCATTCAATGGCATCGGGGTTTACTTCTCTATGGTGCACGGGGCACTAGAAGGGTATTGAATCATTACTTCCTCTAAGGCTTTCTTTATTTGTTTGCTCATTGTTAAAGTTGTAACACTGGTTGTTAATTTCATATTTATATAAATTTCTTTTTTCTTTTTCCCAAACTTCTGCCGCCGCTCTTGATGCTCAACACCTCCCATCAGCCCTTGTCAAGTGGCCTCCTCCTTGGAAGTTTTCCTTCATTTGGCCGCCCTTGTCTCCCTCTTCCCGCATTCACCTTGTACCTAGTACTAACTCAAATGATTTTATGATGGCTATGGTTATGTCATGTCTGATTATAGTGGAATTAGTTATGGAGCTCAAGATGATGAAACATATTATGGACCTACTAGTTGGGTTAATCCTAACTATCCTATATATGAGAGGACAGTAGGGAGCTCAAGAGAGACCTATATGCACCATGATCAAACATGGCTTACAAACTGCTCGGGTTACATGACTTGGTATGACTATTGTATGAATCTAGATGGTTGTTCCTCATTGTTTGAACCTCATCGAAGCTCTTCATTTATGTAGATGGACACTTATCTAAATTGTAATCCAATGTTTAAACAAACTATGGATTTATGCACGATTTATTCATTCTAATCAACATTTTATTTTCAAACTTTTCATTAACAAGCATTACATACCACTTATACTTCATCATATGTATATCTTATTATTAGTAAATTTTGAGTTTTATTTGTTCAATATATTCATTGATAATGTACATAACATCTATGAAAGTTTTATACCAAAATTATGTGTTTTAATTCCTATATCTGTCTTTTGTTGATTTTTTCCCGATACTTAAAACGATAACAATATATCCCCCCGAAATATCTGTAAATTGGAGGCCCGTTGCACGGCCGATATTTTAATCCTTGATCATACGTGGTGTTGGATTTTTCGGCGTGTGGACTCACTTGGTTGATAGTATTTTATCACATGTGGCGTTGGATTTTCCAGCGTGTGATAAAGCAGTTTGCGTATGTAGAACATGGTTTTGTTGGGCCACACGTGGCGCTAGATTTTCCGGCGTGTGTGCTCACTTGGATACTGGTTATTTTACCACACGTGGCGTTGAATTTTTCCAGCGTGTGGTAGAGGATCCGGATACTTTGGTTATTGTTACTTTACTACTCGTGGTGCTGGACTCTCCGGCATGTAGTAAAGTAACGGAAAAAGGGAAAATGATTATTATACCATATCGGGGGAAAAAGATTAATGTTTAAGAGAATTATGCTTAGCATATGTGAATTGTTAAAGGGAAATGGTTGTTGGGTTATGAGTCTTAAGAACGGAGTGAGTAAAGAAAAATGGGTTTGTGTTCATGGGTGGAGATATTGTGATTTTAATAAAAGAGAAAAGATGATTTTAGAATTAACTTGTTAGTATTACTGAAAATAATTGTATGTTATTTGAATCGTGATTGTTGGTATAAGAACTACGTGTGGCTTGATCCCTCACTAACGGGTACGTAGGTAGCCTGAGGTTTCACCTAGGTGCAGCTTCGAATTATACTATTACTTTGATTGAGTTTGGCTTTGAATATGTTGATGGGCTTGAAGCCCAGTCGAGGTGAGATTAAATGCTTGATTATATTTCAGTTTTACTAAATGGTTGTGGTTAAAATGTGTGTATGGTTATGACGGGTTAGAATTTTTTGCGATTGTACATAAATGGTTTTAATTGCATGCTTTGGCATCGTTTTACAAACAGTGGGGCAAGTATGTGGAAATTTGGTTTAATTCTCTTACAATTTTCTGTTTTGGGCCCCCAAGCAATAGCTTGATCTGAGCCCAGCAACGGAGCCAAGAATTGTACTTTCACGCCCTAAACTTCTATAGGGCATTTCTATTTGTTTAATTTCCGTTGAACTTCATTTCGGTTATAAACTCAAGTCTTCCTTAGAATTGCTCTGTTATCGCCCATGTAGGGTTGAATTTAAGGCCGGAGGCCTATCCGGTAAACTGTGTGCTTTTACACTGTGTGTATTGCCAGTTGGACTATTATTACTGTGTTTCGACATGTTGAAATTTTGAAAATGGAGAGACTCTGCCCCAAGAGGGGACTGCTCATGCACATCCCCCCAACTTTTTTATTTGGATAGTGCTCATTAGAGAGTTTTGATGATTACTTGATGAAAATGGGAAGCTTCTGGTTAGTGTTAATAGATGCTATGTGTAAGAGCTAAAATTAACCGTGTATCATTTACATTTGTATTGTTCAGTGCCCAGGGAACTGTGGGATTACATATGTTATTTCTTTGGCTTTCATGCTGGTGCTGAAAAGTGTCGTTGACGTTC